AGCAGCGAGGGTAGCAATATCAGCGGCCAGACCATCGATCCTAGCTTCTAAGTCGGACGGTTTAGACTCTGACGACGATACGGCGGCACACTGCAGAATCACCCACAGTTTCAACTATTTTATCCGCCATTTTGGCTAATTTATCCAGATCCGTACTTTCAGTAGTCGCAAGAATGCTTCTAATGTGCGGTGATAAATGTTCAAAGAACACAGTTTTTATTACGGCGTTGTCACGTATCGTTTGTCAGAGTTTAAGTTACGAAGTCGACTGAGAATCTGCGACGGTTTCCCTGATGTAAGCACTTGGCCTTTTATTAATTGTCGCAATTGACTTTCTGCTGACGCTGAAAAATTTTCATTGATACGCTGTTTTAATTTGGTATATGGTTCATTCACATTGGGCTCCGCGATGAGATCTCTGCATCACGCGATGGCTTCTGCGTCCAGAGACATAATCATGTGATGCGCCTTAGTCTTTTGCTCTGTGATTCGAGCGGCTTCGAACGTGGCCTCGACTTGAATAAACCATATCACCGGATCTTTAATTAAGAACGGCGGAATTTTCGGAACCCTATATGAATCCACGCGCGCGACATTGCCGACCACATTGTCCTGCATCTGATGAAACATCGCTTGCAGTTGCATCACTTGCTCCTGCAATCCTCGTTGGTGGGAGGAGCCATGACTATACGTGACGAAGCTCGCGAACAATCAGTACTTCCTAACGACCTTAAATATTAACCGCTTACGCGCGCGCTATAAAAATTTCGATCGCTCAAAGTTAATTTGTCAATAATGGAGAAATTGTTAATTGACATTCGTATAATTGACCTCGTGAAGAAAAGCGCAGAGGATCTACTTTCCTGTTTACCGAATTACGCACGCTTAAAAACTAACGCACTGCATACACAACTTGCCCGACTGCTATACGGCGAAGTCGTCCTTCACAAGTCACAATGGCGGCGAGGTCGTCCTTCACAGGTCACAATGGCGGCGAGATCATCCTTGACAGATCACAATGGCGGCGACAGCGATGACGTCCTGAACGCCGGCTCCTGGGCTGATTCGTGCAGTTCCTACGTCGGCGGAACGCTGAGCGCCTGTCGTTGGATATGTCTCTGCGGTGCTTCCGATGGCGAGAATTTTCCACCGGCCCCGGCCTCAGCGATGGGGCCTTGCGACAGGTCACAATATCGACGATGAGCTTGCTGCTGCTTACGACGTCGACGATGGGCCTCCTTGTCGGCTACTACATCGGCGACGAGCTTCCTTATCGGCTACGACGTCGGCAATGTGCACTTCTGCTCGGTTCGAAACCAAATTCGTCTCGATGTTGCTCGAACGACAGTTACCAGTTAATCGCTTCTTCCTCTCGATCACATCGGCCTCTAGATCTCGTCGGCCTTTCGTATCACAACGACCTTTCGTATCACAACGGTCTTTCGTATCATAATGTGGGAATATGTGACTCAATGGATAAGTCAGA